TCTCAAAATAGAACTTATTACTCCTATTTTGGCAAACTTTAATCAAATTATTTTGTATAGGACTAAATAAGATCTATTTGAAGAGTAAAACATATTTTATTATTTTTAATTATATATATGCAATTATTTCATGAGGAATGATCATGTTAAAACTACATGACAGGATCCACCGTCCATCTGCCTATGTCTGAGGTGCTTCCGGGTGGACTTTCTTGATGAAATTTAATGACAATGTTCTTCATGATGTGTAGATTATTTACACCAAATTTCAGCTTAAAATTCGTTCCCTGAAAATGCAGTATTAACTCTATGAAGTGCTGAGTGAAAAGATAAAGAGCCGTTCAAAAGAAAAGTATGAAGCATTGGATATAATCTCAAATCGTACTAAGATTGTCATGAATCTACCACAGAATAATCCTGGATTAAAATTTAATTCCGAGCTTTACAACTCCAATGGATTCCTATGAGCGAATTAGAAGTAGAAAAAGAGTTATTGCATGATGGGCCAAGATGAAGAAGATGATGGAGAATGGGGATGAGGTTGCCAGATGCGCTCTCTCTGTTCAAAGTGAATGTGATGGCCTGCGGTTAGGGAGAGCCGAGAAGGGAGAAGGTGATAGACGAAGGCCGTAGATCTATTTTTTTATCATGCGGCTGAAAGTGTTCTACACCTGAGCAGAAAAGTGCTCCCTCACAAAGTAGTAGGAGGATTTGAGGAAATATAGAAGTTTAGGTCCTTTAGGAGAAGGAACCTTCTGATTCTTATCGTCCACCATGATTATAGAATGATTCTTATGCATTATCACAACGTGCTCATGATACCATAAAGAAGCCACATGCTTGGTACTAATTCAAAGCGTAAGTAGTCATACTTTGTACACCTTTTTTGAACAATATTTCTCTTCAGTTATGTAATAGAAATCTACATTGGAAGGTTTATAGTTGGAGAAGAAAGGTGAAAATTGTGTTTTATATATTGACTATCACCAATATATGTTTTTCACTTCCTTACTTCTCACTTTTTACACACTTTTTGTGTACACACTTTTTACACATGTCTGTGTAAGGTTTTTTTATGTCTGTACAGACATAACATATTTTTAAAATACGTTATGTCTGTACAAACATAAAAAAAACCTTACACAGACTATGTAAAAAGTGTGTACCTTTATAATTTTTCAATTCAATATCTACCTAAAAGTTGGCCCTCCAACTTTTTCTTACAGTAGTACTAGTATTAGATATGACATAATCCGAAAAGATTGGATTAGAATTACCTTATAGAAGCCTCCATTTGAGATACTTCCGGTTAGATGTTTTTGATGAACTTTTCTGATCATGTATTTGATGAAATGTAGATTATGTTCACTAAATTTCAATCATGAAGTCAATTAAATAAATTTCGGAAAAACACTGTGTTTTATAGATACATATTGGTGCAGCGTTTTTCAATAATATATTTAACTGCCTTGTCGGTTGAATTTTAAGCTGAAATTTTGTATATATAATCTACACATCATGAAGAACAGTGTCATTAAATTTCATCAAGAAAGTCCACCCGGAAGCACCTCAGACATAGGCAGATGGACGGTGGATCCTGTCAGGTAGTTTTAACAGGATCATTCCTCATGAAATAATTGCATATATATGATTAAAAATAATAAAATATGTTTTACTCTTCAAATAGATCTTATTTAGTCCTATACAAAATAATTTGATTAAAGTTTGCCAAAATAGGAGTAATAAGTTCTATTTTAAGAATAAAACAATGATAATCCTGTTTATGAACTTTATTTTTATTTTAATCCTATTTAGATAATTTTCTCCTAAGAGGGTAATGTACTAATTTTCTAGATGTTATTTCAATGCCATTGTTTATAACTTTGACATTGTTATTATATGATATTGTGACATTTTTTACATTTGAACATTGTAATATTTTTCTACATTTTGGCAATGACATTTTTCAAGATAGTTATTGACATCAACATTTACAATGTGGCTTTTTTAACTTATAAAGTGTGATATTGTTCGTACTATTATCAGAAATGTATATCGTTTAATTTCATCATTGAGTACAAACAACATTACAAAGATAAATGACTAATTAAATGAATCAAAGAAATAGTAATTAAAAAATTAATATACTACGTAGTACAAATTAAACAAAACAATAAAATGAAAAGTTAACGATTTGAAAAGGAAATTAGATCAAATAGAAATAAGAAACAAAAACAAAACGAAACAAAACCAAAACAGTTCGTATACCGTGGGATCATCCCACGGTGAGCATCATGCTCCACCCTCAAAATGATGTAGTTTTGCAAATGGATTTTCAAAATAAAGCTTGATAAGGATGGCAAGATCGATGTCTATAAGGCTCGATCGGTTGCAAAAGGATATCGACAAATTCATGGTATTGACTATGATGAATCCTTTTCTCCAGTTGTCATGTTTAAATCAATCAGGATACTTTTAAGCATTGCCGCGTATTATGACTATGAGATATGGCAAATGGATGTCAAAACTGCTTTCCTAAATGGATACCTTGAAGAGGATGTGTACATGACACAACCTGAAGGTTTTGTCGATCCGATAAATGCTAATAAAGTATGCAAGCTTAAGAGATCCATATATGGTCTTAAGCAAGCATCTCGGAGTTGGAATCTTCGTTTTAATGAGGTTGTCAAAGAGTTTGGTTTCATGAAAAACGAAGAAGAACCTTGTTTATACAAGAAGGTCAGTGGGAGCGCAATAATCTTTCTCGTATTGTATGTAGATGACATACTACTCATTGGAAATGATATTCCCATGCTTCAATCTATTAAGACTTGGCTCGGAAATTGTTTTTCAATGAAAGACTTGGGTGAGGCAACCTATATATTAGGGATCAAGGTCTATAGGGATAGATCAAGAAAACTAATAGGATTAAGCCAAAGTACATACATTGACAAAATCTTAAATAGGTTTTGCATGCAAAACTCTAAGAGGGGATTCTTGCCAATGACACATGGCATAACACTCAGCAAGAATCAGTGTCCTCAAACACAAGATGAGCGAGATCGCATGGATAGAATCCCATATGCTTCGGCTATAGGATCTATCATGTATGCCATGTTATGTACTCGTCCTGATATGGCACATGCATTGAGTGTGACTAGCAGATACCAGTCAGACCCTGGTGAGGGCCACTCGACCGCTGTCAAGAATATTCTAAAGTACTTAAAAAGAACTAAGGATATGTTCTTGGTCTATGGTGGACAGGAAGAATCGGTTGTAAGTGGTTACACTGATTCGGGTTTTCAGTCAGACAAGGATGACTTCAAATCGCAATCCGGTTTTGTATTTTGTCTAAACGGTGGAGCTGTGAGTTGGAAGAGTTCTAAGCAAGACACGGCTACTGATTCTGCAACGGAAGCTGAATATGTTGCTGCTTCAGAAGCAGCAAAGGAAGCAGTATGGATAAAGAAGTTTATCACTGAGCTTGGTGTCATTCCTAGTAGAACCGATCCAATAGATTTGTATTGTGACAACAATGGAGCGATTGCTCAGGCTAAAGAGCCAAGGTCACACCACAAGTCTAAGTATATTCAAAGACGTTATCACCTGATACATGGGTTTATAAGTAATGGTGAACTAAAGATGTGCAAAGTTCCCACGGATGAGAACGCCGTTGATCCTTTGACCAAACCGCTTTCTCAATCCAAACATGATAGACATATCAGTGCAATGAGAATTCGTTTCATGAATGAATGGTCCTAGTGCAAGTGGGAGACTGAAAGAGATATGCCCTAGAACTATTCATATGTGTATGACTTATAGTTGGATATCTTATGCTTATTAATAAGGTTTACTTTAATTCACCTTATATTCTTAAATATAGTATATTATTATTACTAGTTCACCAAGTATGTGACTTGGTTGTGGAATACTAGTCGTTTCGTAAAATATACTATGTCCCTAATCATATCTCTATAATCTAGGATTACATAGACATATTGATTAGAGTGTGGGTTAGCTGATGACTATACTCCACAAGTCATGGATATGGTGATATCAAGCTAAACACACTAATACTTGTTGGTGAACAAATATTGGACCGACCCGTTTTGGGAACACTGCAAGGAAATGTTATAAATGTCATCACTGATGTTCCCTTTAGTGAAATCATATTGTCCTCAGACCTGAGATCGCCATGGTTACCAATATAAGGATTAATACATTAGACATAATCAAACGTTACTCCTAAATGAATAACTATAAAGATAATGATCAAATGTATTATGAAATATATAGAGATATGTGGTTGGTTAAGATGGAATTTGTCACTTTCATATATTGAGAAAAGATATCTTTGGGCCCCTTGATAAGTATATTTAATTATAGCATGGCCATGCACAAATGAGGTGTCATTTGTATTAATTATACTTGGAAATCAAGATACAATGATTGAACTATACAAGAATGACACACGCCTAGTTTGTGTTCAATCTAGATATCGTTTGGCAAAAGGAATATATATGTGACATAATATATTTATAAGTTGTGTCGTTTTGAATTTTATATCCTTTGGATAATAATAATGTCTTACTAGAGACCGTTTTTTATTTGTATAATTAAAAGAATATTTAATTATACTACCAAAGGAATATAAACCTATAGGGTCGCACACTAAAAGATTTTGGATCAGAATCGGATAGTGTTTGGGTTCGAATGACTTCAAGCCCATATCCATTTGTTGCTAGGGTTTTCTACATTATATTCTCTATAAAAGGAGGAGCCTAAGAGCTTAATAGGGCTGGCCGTTCTCACACATACATGAGACAAAACATAATTTGGGAAAACCCTTTTTGGATGCTAGTACATTGAGCAAGTCTGATCCGATTGTGTGTGCACACCGTAGAGGCGTGGTACTTTCTACGCTAGAACGATATAAACAAGTGCTAAGACCTAGGTTTCCATTGATCCATCAAAAGGTATGGTTTCATACGAACTTATAATGATAAGTTTCTTGATTTATTGCAAACTATATTGCTTATTAGCAATTGAAATTCATGGAATAGTATAGATCCTTTTGTAAATGTTTTTGCTTCGTATCAAGCATGAGATGCATGTTCGTAGCTCGTTTCCTAACATATGGCACTTCCAACCCGACTGGGTTGTGTTCTAGCATGACCGGGTTTGCTACCAGAATTTATTTTCACCGTTCATCTTGCCGTTCTTTGGTACCTATAATACTCCTTTGCATCCCTTTTGGTACTTACAACAAAATACACACTAATAATAGAAATTACAACCTCTAAAATAAATCTAAAGAGTACATCACAAACTAAACTAAATAATTAAAAACAACAATCAAACAATAATAAAATGACAACACTCAAATTGGTTTACATACTCCCTCCGTCCCAATTTCTAAACACTTTATGGTTTACATTTGACTGATGATAAAGCAAATTGATCAATGTCAACACTCAAATTAGTTTTAGAAAATAAAATTTACATATTCAGAAACTACATTAAAACCGTTACAAAACCTACAAAAAATAATTCAAATTTCATAAATTTTTTATATATAAAGTAAAAGATTAAGAGTGATTTATGTTGACCAAGTGAATAGTAAATGTATCTTACAATTTGGGACTAAGGGATTATCAAACTCCCCCATGCTTAGTCTTTTACTAGTCCCGAGTAAAATCGGTTAAAGTCCAACAAGCAAGGTCTCCAACCATCCATTCACTAATGTCATCTTTTACCGTAAATTCATGCCCTTCGTTCGTCTTCCTCCATGGTTGATCGATTTGAGTTCCATTCTTCCAACGCCCTCCTGCTATGATAAAAAAAACTCTTGCAGAGAAGAATTCTCTCGTCATCTCATTTTTCCTAGGAGTCTTTTCATTTTTTTATCCTAACCGCTCATTTTTTCCCGGACTCACTCATCATTTTTTTGCCATTGTTGCTTAGGTTGCCCGTTCAGGTTTTCAACCTAACTGACATTTCTTCTTTTTATTTTTTTATCCTAACCGCTCATTAAATATCTGTCCCGCTAGCCTTAGTAATTTTTTCTTTTTTTTCTTCTTTTTTTTTGAAAAAGAAGAAAAAATTAAGCATAGGGAATCGTCTTTTGTAGGGGGAAATTGCTGAAATTTACTAAAAGTGAATTGAAACCACCTGCGGTTGAGGTGGTAACAAGAGGTCCTGGTCTTATTACTGGAAAACGCTGAAAAAGAAAAATGAAACAAGGCCAAACAAGGTCTTTGAGAATGAAAAAAGGGATGTTCATGATCCCACTAAAAAAGGTGTTTCTTGGGAGGCAACTCATGTTTTGTGAACATTTTGTTTATTTGATTTGAATTTGCATTGTTCAATTTTATTTTGAGTGTGAAGAGCGAGGTGACTAACGGTTTGGTTAAAACGGTGAAAAGAAACAAAAAAATGCACGTTTGGAGAAGAACCCGGTCAGGTATGTTCTATACCTGGTCGGGTATGCTTAAAAAGAATGAAATAGAGGCTACTGGAGAAAACTTCCGATCGGGTGATTGATATACCTGATTGGGTACTTCACACACTAAACACCGGGGCTTTTTGCGAGCACGTTCGGTGACGAGCACTTTGTCACGGTGTGTCAAAATAAATTCAATACTAAACACTTATATGTAGTATAGAGTAGTAGAGTTCGTATCCACAGGGAAAGGAATGATTCTCTTTTTATGATACTTAGTAAATAAAAGGGGGGATTTGGATTGAGTGATTTAATTTAATTAAGAACCAAGATGAACAACCTATATGTGTTTAATTCAAAGATAAAAAGGACTTGGCATTGCTACTTTCCACTTGGTGATATATTTTAGTCGATCATTGTTATATCTATAACTTATTCCCTCTCGAATACTCAATCGGGGAGTATATCCACTTCATCGAGGGTAGTAATTAACAATGACCGTTCATTAATAACCCTTACTATTAATCAAATATAGGACAACGCCTTATATCGATTTAATAGTAGCATTTAATCTTTCTAACTCCTTGATGAAATCAATTGAGATTGATAACCTCAACATAACGGTTTCGGTTTAACCAACAAAATTAATCCCTCTTAAGTTTATTAACCACGACCGTGCATTTATAAACCGAAGTTACTTACTTATGAAACCATCAACGATTAACCATCGGTTCGTTGATCGTTTCTAGTAATAATTAATATATGAAACAAAACTAATTGATCCTTTAAGTAATGTTCAAAATATTAATATGAAATATGAGTAGGAATTAATTAATATTCAAGGAAGAATATTATTAAAGAAGATGAATCCTACTATAATTAATATCAAGATGTTAACTAATTGTCATCATAGCAACACTCCCCAACATTAATATAGAGGAAGAAAATATCATTCTAACTAATGTCGAGATGTTAACCAATTGTCATCTTAGCAACACTCCCCAGCATTAATATAGAGATGATATTAAGGAAAGAACTATTAATTAATATTCAAGGAAAGAAGTTAAGAAAATAACTCACAACTTTAATAATCAACAAGCTTCAAGAGCAACACCAAGAATGAAAGTTTAGCTCCTCATTTGGAGACTAAACATAGCTACAAAAATATAAAGAAATGTTATTCTAAACTTAGCTTAAGAGCATGGAAGAAGGAATGATTTTTAGAGAAGAAAAAGTGTGCTATTTATAGGTGTTTTTCAACACCTTTGGCCAGGTACCCGACCGGGTCAAGTACTTACCCGACCGGGTGGGGGTTTCTACCCGGTCGAGTTTCACTCCTGGGCAGTCAAATTTCTTGTTTTCTTCTCTTCAAAGTCTTCCTTTCCAACACCACAAATCCTAACTATATACTTTACAACATATAAATGAAGAATAAAATACAATTACAATTGAAATCACATAAATGTTTACAAACTAAATAAAACGTCAAACAATCAACATAAATCAAACATAAAAACATATAATTATGCACTACTAATTAGTGTGCATCAAACACCCCCACACTTAAACCTTTACTCGTCTCGAGTAAATCAAATCCGGTCCAAGAAGTCCTTAAAATGACAAGAATATCAACACACACATCCACGAGTGTTTTTTAGAAACACATAAAGTATATCCCCAAAAATATAACAGTAAAGAGGGTGTTCAACTCCATATTTCTTTATCAACCTCAACCTTTTTTTTGTTACCCTTAGGATCCTGTAGAAATAAAAGAAAATACTTTCTCTCGTTCTCTCATTTTGCCTAGGTGCCCTTTCGGGTTTTCATCCCAGCTTCCCACATTTTTCTCTTTTTAATCCTCACAACTCACTCTTATTTTTGCTTTATTTTTGCTTAAGTTGCCCTTTCAGGTTTTCAACTTAACAAGCTTTTATAATATTTTTTTTTACAAAAATAAAGAGTATGAATGTGAGTATTTCCATAAAACTCTCCCCCCAAGCTAATCAAAGCACTGTCCCTAGTTCTTGTGTCTGAGATGAATGTGTTTTTTTTGTTACTTTTGGAAGGTTTTGTTGGTGATTCGTGGGTGTGGAGATGAAAAGGGTGAAGAGGAGATGAATGAAATGGGTTTAATTGGTGGATGGATGTAGGAGATATGAAGCTTTTGACTTTTGGAAATGGAGGAAATTTGGGGTGTGGTTCGAAAGGGAAGACAAAGGGGGGTGATTCATTTTTTTTGAGAAATGGCCTGGTTTCCAAAAAATGAGATACCCGGCCGGGTGGGGTAGTGTACCCGGTCGGGCGTAAACTGTTCACCCGAGGTAGAATGTTTTTTTGTTGGGTTGCCCGGCCGGGTTTAGGGGTCTACCCGGTCGGGTGTAAACTGTTCACCCGAGGCAGAAAGCTTTTGCTGGGTTGCCCGGCCGGGTATGGGGGTCTACCCGGTCGGGTGTTTGATTTATTCTTGTTCCGCTCTTGCCGCGCCCGGGTGGTTGGTCGGGTGTTTTGTTTTTAGAGGTAACCCGACCGGGTAGGGTTTTATACCCGACCGGGTTCAATCCCAGGTCATTTTTTTTTGAAATGTGTAAAAATTAAATAAAACAAGTAAACATACCTTGCTTGGGTTGCCTCCCAAAAAACGCCTTAGTTAACGTCGTGGCACGACGCCATCATTGTGTTCAGTCGTTCAAACTGGGATCATGATAGTTTATCTTCGCCACATTTTCACTCCTAGGACTTCCATAGGAATGCTTGATTTTCTGACCCTTCACTTTGAAAATCTTTCCAGGATCAAATATCCAGATTTTCATTGATTCATGTGGTGATAGTGAGGGAAAGAAATTATCATTTAGCATGGTCAATGGAAAGTGTTTTGATCTTGGTGGCATGAGAGGGGGTATCAAATTTTTACTTAACTCCACTGTCATTTCCTGCATATTGGTGAATGAAAAGAAATCCAAATGATATTCTCTCGGTTTATTTGCAACCGCGAAAAGTACATTTGAATTATCCTCACATTTGTTGAGGATTTTATCTTCGTCCTTCTCTACCCTTTCTGTTTCCCTTAGAGCCTCAGGAAATGGTGGCATGTTCTCAGGAATGGCCGGTGATGGAGTTGAGTAATGAAGATTCTCTTCCTCTGGCTGAGCTCCCTCCGTAAGCTCCTCTTCTTCTTCCTCCTCGCCAATGTGGTTCACAATGTTTGCCACTTGTTTCAATTGATTCTCCAAGTTCAGTTCTTTGAGCACTGTTTCTTGCGGGTATTGTGACATATCTTGTTGCATTTTTGTCACATTGATAGTGAGAGCTCGGATCATGTCTTCAGTGGATATGCTGGAATAAGAACTTGAGTATGGATTATATGTGTTGGAGAATGAATCATACCTCTCTTGGAAAACAACATCATCACTATGTTCAAAGTATTCTTATTGAAGCTTGGGGCAAAAACCCATAAGATGCCTTTGTGACATGCAAATGTTGCAGGCCTCGGTATCTTGAACGTTTGAGCATAAGAGAAACTCCTTTACTAAAAATGTTAAGCTAGAAATTTGACTCTAGCGATGATGTGCTGGTATCCATTTACTCATATAAGCTCAGAAAATAGAAGAGCAAGATTTTTTTTTTTAAATTATTTTTTTTTATGAGATAAAATAAAAAGAAAAATAATTGCCTTTCCCCGGCAACGGCGCCAAATTTGACGAGCACTTTGTCACGGTGCGTCAAAATAAATTCAATACTAAACACTTATGCGTAGTATAGCGTAGTAGAGTTCGTATCCACAGGGAAAGGAATAATTCTCTTTTTATGATACTTAGTAAATAAAAGGGGGGATTTGGATTGAGTGATTTAATTTAATTAAGAACCAAGATGAACAACCTATATGTGTTTAATTCAAAGATAAAAAGGACTTGGCATTGCTACTTTCCACTTGTTGATATATTTTAGTCGATCATTGTTATATCTATAACTTATTCCCTCTCGAATACTCAATCGGGGAGTATATCCACTTCATCGAGGGTAGTTATTAACAACGACCGTTCATTAATAACCCTTACTATTAATCAAATATAGAACAACGCCTTATATCGATTTAATAGTAGCATTTAATGTTTCTAACTCCTTGATGAAATCAATTGAGATTGATAACCTCAACATAACAGTTTCGGTTTAACCAACAAAATTAATCCCTCTTAAGTTTAATAACCACGACCGTGCATTAATAAACCGAAGTTACTTACTTATGAAACCATCAACGATTAACCATCGGTTCGTTGATCGTTTCTAGTAATAATTAATATATGAAACAAAACTAATTGATCCTTTAAGTAATGTTAAAAATATTAATATGAAATATGAGTAGGAATTAATTAATATTTAAGGAAGAATATTATTAAAGAAGATGAATCCTACTATAATTGATATCATCAAAGAGTCAGAAAGATTAAATGCTACTATTAAATCGGTATAAGGCGTTGTTCTATATTTGATTAATAGTAAGGGTTATTAATGAACGGTCGTTGTTTATAACTACCCTCGATGAAGTGGATATACTCCCCAATTGAGTATTCGAGAGGGAATAAGTTATAGAAATAACAACGATCGACTAAAATATATCAAGTGGAGAGTAGCAATGCCAAGTCCTTTTTATCTTTGAATTAAACACATATAGGTTGTTCATCTTAGTTCTTAATTAACTTAAACATTCAAAACCAAAACCCCCCTTTTTAATTACTAGTTTCATAAAAAGAGACTCATTCCTTTCCTTTCCCTGTGGATACGAACTCTACTACGCTATACTACGTATAAGTGTTTAGTATTGAATTTATTTTGACGCACCGTGACAAAGTGCTCGTCAAACTTGGCAATATTCGAGAGGGAATAAGTTATAAATATAAGAATGATCGACTAAAATATATCAACAAGTGGAAAGTAGCAATGTCAAGTCCTTTTTATCTTTGAATTAAACACATATAGGTTGTTCGTCTTGGTTCTTAATTAAATTAAACCACTCAATCCAAATCCCCCCTTTTATTTACTAAGTATCATAAAAAGAGAATTATTCCTTTCCCCGTGGATACGAACTCTACTACGCTATACTACGTATAAGTGTTTAGTTTTGAATTTATTTTGACGCACCGTGACAAAGTGCTCGTCAAATTTGAATAAAAAAAACCTGTTTAGCTCAGAAAAGTCCTAATCTAAACAAATTACAAATAAATGTGAAAATAAAGTATTACACCAAAAGTGTGTAATTTTCTCAACTAGAACTAATAAAAACTAGTTAAAAATACAAACATACAATCGGAAATTACATGAATATCATTCGGGTTCATGGTGAAAATACACACAACCCGACCGGGTTGCAAATACACCTGACCGGTTTACATGAACTTTTTTTGAAAACTTGACTTAGTGATACGCATAAGCTTGTCGGGTTGGCTTCAAACCCAGTCGGGTATGTCAATATTTTTGAACCAAAAGCTCCAAAAACTTTCTTTTTTCACCTCTTCTTGTCTTTAATCTTCCAATCCACCATTCCTTATCACCTCAAACCTCATACCCATATCCTTAGTTCTTCAAAATCTACCCAAATCCTCCAACCAACCCCCACACACAAAAAAAAACTTCACAATCTTGTTCCAATCACTTGCCTCTTACTCCACATACCCTCTAATCCATACTCTTGGAAACCCTCACCCAAACCACAACATTATTATATCTTAAAAAATGATGGCCACAACGAGCACTAGGGACAATGCTCAGTTTAGCAAGGGGGGATAAAACTCTTCATTGTACATATGATATTTCTTCTACATTGTACTTTCATTTACAAAAAGAAACATACGAAAACAAAAAAATAAAAAAAAAATAAAAAATAAATAAAAAGAAGAAATGTCAGTTTGGTTGAAAACCCGAACAGGCAACCTAAGCAACAATGACAAAAAAATGATGAGTGACTCCGGGAAAAAATGAGCGGTTAGGATAAAAAATGAAAAGACTCCTAGGAAAAATGAGATGACGAGAGAATTCTTCTTTGCAAGAGTTTTTTTTATCATAGCAGGAGGGCGTTGGAAGAATGGAACTCAAATCGATCAAGCATGGAGGAAGACGAACGAAGGGCATGAATTTACGGTAAAAGATGACATTAGTGAATGGATGGTTGGAGACCTTGCTTATTGGACTTTAACCGATTTTACTCGGGACTAGTAAAAGACTAAGCATGGGGGAGTTTGATGATCCCTTAGTCCCAAATTGTAAGATACATTTACTATTCACTTGGTCAACATAAATCACTCTTAATGTTTTACTTTATATATAAAAACTTTATGAAACTTGAATTATGTTTTGTAGGTTTTGTAGCGGTTTTAATGTAGTTTCTGAATATGTAAATTTTATTTTCTAAAACTAATTTGAGTGTTGACATGGATCAATTTGTTTTATCATCGGTCAAATGTAAACCATAAAGTGTTTAGAAATTGGGACGGAGGGAGTATGTACTATTTCTCAGTGCATAAGTTTGTCATTTTATTATTGTTTGATTGTTGTTTTTAATTATTTAGTTTAGTTTGTGATGTACTCTTTAGATTTATTTTATAGGTTGTAATTTATATTATTAGTGTGTATTTTGTTGTAAGTACCAAAAGGGATGCAAAGGAGTATTATAGGTACCAAAGGAAGGCCAAATTAACTGTGAAAATAAATTCTGGTAGCAAATCCGGTCGGGCTAGAACACAACCCAGTCGGGTTGGAAGTGCCATATGTTAGGAAACGAGCTACGAACATGCATCTCATGCTTGATACGGAGCAAAAACATTTACAAAAGGATCTATACTATTCCATGAATTTCAATTGCTAATAAGCAATATAGTTTGCAATAAATCAAGAAACTAATCATTATAAGTTCGTATGAAACCATACCTTTTGATGGATAAATGGAAACCTAGGTCTTAGCACTTGTTTATTTCGTTCTAGCGTAGAAAGTACCACGCCTCTACGGTGTGCACACACGATCGGATCAGACTTGCTCAATGTACTAGCATCCAAAAAGGGTTTTCTCAAATTATGTTTTGTCTCATGTATGTGTGAGAACGGCCAGCCCTATTAAGCTCTTAGGCTCCTCCTTTTATAGAGAACATAATGTAGAAAACCCTAGCAACAAACGGATATGGGCTTGAAGTCATTCAGACCCAAACACTATCTGATTCTGATCCAAAACGTTTTAGTGTGCGACCCTACAGGTTTATATTCCTTTGGTAGTATAATTAAATACTCTTTTAATTATACAAATAAAAAGTGGTCTCTAGTAAGACATTATTATCATCCAAAGGATATAAAATTCAAAACGACACAACTTATAAATATATTATGTCACATATATATTCCTTTTGCCAAACGATATCTAGATAGAACACAAGACTAGACGAGTGTCATTCTTGTATAGTTCAATCATTATATCTTGATTTCCAAGTATATTTAATACAAATGACACCTCATTTGTGAATGGCCATGCTATAATTAAATATACTTATCAAGGGGCCCAAAGATATCTTCTCTCAATATATGAAAGTGACAAATCCCATCTTAACCAACCACATACCTCTATATATTTCATAATACATTTGATCATTATCTTTTTAGTTACTCATTTAGGAGTAACGTTTGATAATGTCTAATGTATTAATCCTTATATTGGTAACCATGGCGATCTCAGGTCCGAGGACAATATGGTTTCACTAAAGGGAACATCACTGATGACATTTATAACATTTCCTTGCAGTGTTCCCAAAACAGGTCGGTCCAATATTTGTTCACCAACAAGTATTAGTGTGTTTTGCTTGATATCACCATATCCATGACTTGTGGAATATAGTCATCAGCTAACCCACACTCTAATCAATATGTTTATGTAATACTAGATTATAGAGATATGATTAGGGACATAGTATATTTTACGAAACGACTAGTATTCCAAAACCAAGTCACATACTTGGTGAACTAGTAATAATAATATACTATATTTAAGAATATAAGGTGAAATAAAGTAAACCTTATTAATAAGCATAAGATATCCAACTATAAGTCATACACATATGAATAGTTCTAGGGCATATCTCTTTTAGTCTCCCACTTGCACTAGGACCATTCATTCATGGAACGAATTCCCATTGCACTGATATGTCTATCATGTTTGGATTGAGAAAGCGGCTTGGTCAAAGGATCAGCAACGTTCTCATCTGTGGGAACTTTGCACATCTTTACCTCACCATTACTTATAAACCCATGTATCAGGTGATAACGTCTTTGAATATGCTTAGACTTGTGGTGTGACCTTGGCTCTTTAGCCTGAGCAATCGCTCCATTGTTGTCACAATACAAATCTATTGGATCGGTGCTACTAGGAATGACACCAAGCTCAGTGATAAACTTCTTTATCCATACTGCTTCCTTTGCTGCTTCTGAAGCAGCAACATATTCAGCTTCCGTTGTAGAATCAGTAACTGTGTCTTGCTTCGAACTCTTCCAACTCACAGCTCCACTGTTTACACAAAATACAAAACCGAATTGCGATTTGAAGTCATCCTTGTCTGACAACCAATTCTTCCTGTCCGCCATAGACCATGAACATATCCTTAGTTCTTTTTAAGTACTTTAGAATATTCTTGACAACGGTCCAGTGGCCCTCACCAGGGTTTGACTGGTATCTGCTAGTCACACTGAATGCATGTGCTATATCAGGACGAGTACATAACATGGCATACATGATAGATCCTATAGCCGAAGCATATGGGATTCTATCCATGCGATCTCGCTCATCTTGTGTTTGAGGACACTGAGTCTTGCTGAGTGTTATGCCATGTGTCATTGGCAAGAATCCCCTCTTACAGTTTTGCATGCAAAACCTATTTAAGATTTTGTCAATGTATGTACTTTGGCTTAATCCTATTAGTTTTCTTGATCTATCCCTATAGACCTTGATCCCTAATATATAGGTTGCCTCGCCCAAGTCTTTCATTGAAAAACAATTTCCCAGCCAAGTCTTAACAGATTGAAGCATGGGAATATCATTTCCAATGAGTAGTATGTCATCTACATACAATATGAGAAAGATTATTGCGCTCCCACTGACCTTCTTGTATACACAAGGTTCTTCTTCGTTTTTCATGAAACCAAACTCTTTGACAACCTCATTAAAACGAAGATTCCATTTTATTGTTTTGTTTAATTTGTACTACGTAGTATATTAATTTTTTAATTATTATTTCTTTGATTCATTTAATTAGTCATTTATCTTTGTAATGCTGTTTGTACTCAATGATGAAATTAAACGATATACATTTGTGATAATTGTACGAACAATATCACACTTTATAAGTTAAAAAGCCCCAATGTAAATGTTGATGTCAATAACTATCTTGAAAAATGTCATTGCCAAAATGTAGAAAAATATTACAATGTTCAAATGTAAAAAATGTCACAATATCATATAATGACAATGTCAAAGTTATAAACAATGGCATTGAAATAACATCAAGAAAAGTAGTACATTACCCTCTTAGGAGAAAATTATCTAAATAGGATTAAAATAAAAATAAAGTTCATAAACAGGATTATCATTGTTTTATTCTCAAAATAGAACTTATTACTCCTATTTTGGCAAACTTTACTCAAATTATTTTGTATAGAACTAAATAAGATCTATTTGAAGAGTAAAACATATTTTATTATTTTTAATCATATATATGCAATTATTTCATGAGGAATGATCCTGTTAAAACTACCTGACAGGATCCACCGTCCATCTGCCTATGTCTGAGGTGCTTCCGGGTGGACTTTCTTGATGAAATTTAATGACAATGTTCTTCATGATGTGTAGATTATTTACACCAAATTTCAGCTTAAAATTCGTTCCCTGAAAATGCAGTATAATTGGAGGGCCACCATGTCACAACAATATTCACAAACAAGAAGATAACATTAATTATATACTTCGTTAATTCAGTATGACTTTTCAGTTTTCAAAACAAAATATGTGGCTGACTGCTGTTCAAGAACCTATATCAATGCTTTGTTTAGTTGAATCGAGCAGTCAAAATTATGCCATTACACTTCCCAAGCAATTGAGTATATACGATTTTGAAAAATGTTTGAAACTCTCACAAGCAACTTTCTGCTATAAATAGGAGAATCATGTCTTCCTTCCGCAACACACAACCAAGGGTGCCTGGTAGAAGCAAAACTTGAGATCAAACGTTTCTGAGTGACAAATAGTATAGAGGGATAAGCATCGGTCCAAGTAATTCTTTTATTTTAATGCTTAGCATTGTATTTTTGTTCTCACATGCTTTTTGTAATATGTTTAGAATATATCAGAACATTTGGTGTGGTGAAATCGTACGTGAAAGACATTACTTCAAAATAAAATTTGGGATTTGACACTACGGACTATATGTATCATTGTATCCTATCTATTCTAAATATAACAATGGTGAAATCAAAGACATGGGATGTGCTTTAAATGATAAAGGTTCTGATAATATATTCAGTTTCAATATGTTATGTTCTTGGATTTCTTGGATTTTTTGTTTCAGCTGCAACAAATACACAATTGAGTTTCGCTGAAGATATCAAGAGTTTCATGCGGCCATTTAAAACCATATATGACAGGTAATATTTTCATTATCATATATTGCTGGTCATTGATAGCAATGCTAATATTATATGTTGTAAGTTGTAACAACAAAAACTTTAGGTTGGAAGTTTTTGGGTTTATACAATAAATGTAATTTTATTTGAAAGTGATGAGAACCAGGTGTACCTTCTTGTTGAGTCCTATAAAAATATTTTGTATGTATGTGCAATATTCAGGAAAACGATAAGTTGTATCATTTTGCATGTTTTATGTCCTAAGAATCTCTTTATTTGAATATAGGTGTAGTCTTTGAAGTGGATTTCAAATTTTTGGCTTGACTTCTAAATATAAAAACAAAGAATAGTTTGAGATTAAAATTAAAACATATTCAAAGTGATTAATTTGTTAGAATAATTTCTAACTTAGAGTTGAGTTATAAATTCATAATAAAAGTTTAGACAATATGTTAGCTTTAAGAAGGATTTGTGGCATTGCTAAATACTTTCAACACAGCTCACATAGGCACATAATACATTACGAAATTATATACTTCCTGCGTCCCCAATTAAGTTACCACTTTCCTTTTTGGGAAGTCCCTATATTAAGTTCACACTTTCTTACTTTCCTTATTTGGCAAATTATCTACATCAAAACAGTGTCAAACAGTGCAAAACAGTGTCAAACAGTGTTTGAATAGTGCAAAACAGTGCACTCCACAGTACAGTCAAATTTATTTTCTTAATACGTGTGAAGTCAAACCGGAAACTTAATTGGGGGACGGAGGGAGTAATACATTACAATATTATGGTTTCTAGCTAAACTTTTCTCATTTGCAAAAAGTCCATACCCCCATACTCTTCTCTCTAACTTTTATCTATTTTCCTCCAACTTCTTTCTAACTTTTACCCAAACTATAGTATTTTCATCTAAAGGTGTATAAATTTCAGCATAAATTTAACAATTTAAAAAAGAATCTATTACTTGTGTTTAAACACTTCATTTAAATGGCTTGAATTTCAATAAAATAAATTTTTGAAAACACTATTTCGGATCTGTTAGTAGATATAATACAATCAATGTTTGAAACACTGTGTTTCAAATTCAATCAATGTTAAAAGTTAATTGGATACATTAAAACAAAACAATTTGAATTTCAAATTTCATTTATTCGCCTATAATATTGAATCGTAATAGCACTAGCTTAATCATGCCCTCATGTTTGAAATTCACATGAATATTATACGACTATTAAAGAACAATCATGCAATTCGTTTAAGGAAAATTAGGGTTAAGAGATACTTATGTTTAATAAATTAACTGGGTAATGGGCCACAGTAAAATGGGCTGGAAGTATGGCTTTAGTTGTTGGAATAAAAATGCTTTCAATAGATACTCTTTTTTTTTTATGATTGAGAGCCCGTTTGATAACATCTCCTTTTAGTTTCTAATTTTCATCGGTCTTTTTTTATTAAATGCTTAATTTTTGACTTTACACGCTAAATTCTATAATGATTAAAACAATTAAGATCCGAGTAACTTTTTTAACTGAATTGATTGAAGTTAAAATAAAAGACTATTTTACCGTTATAATTAAAATATGAAAAATGGCTAAAATAGTGCTCTAAAGTAATTTGAGTCAATTCAATCAGGAAAAAAACATTCAACTTTAATTTTTTTCTCAATTCTCCGTGCATAATTATAAGTTCATGTTCGGTGAAAAAATAAATAGACAAAGAGAAAAAGTGGGTCTTCAAATGAGCTTACAAAAACATGAAAAAAGTATTATGATCTCTTTAAGGTTGGTGCTGATAAAATACGACAAGAGTGACACATCACTAATTGTATTTTAACCACTAGGTTTCTACATTCCAGTTTCCAATGCTGAATTTCTGAAACAAGAGCGGTTGAACTAACGGAAGGCCGGTTGGTTGATTGAGGATATGGAAAAAAAGCATTATTGAAGATTCTTTATCATTAGAAATTATTATGGTGTGCTATTATAATGTATAATCAGTGGGTTGGTGTAATAATTTATAAGTTTGTAAATAGTTGCTTAGTTTTTTATGTATTTTGCATTATATGGAGCTTTTGGTACTCTTGGAACTTGAATAATAATTAAATTGTAGCGATTATAATTTATCATTGATTTATATTTTGTAATTGGATTTATTATTTTTGTCATTTAGATGTCGATGGTTTAGTTGTATCGAAGTAAAATGTCGAGGACATGGTTTTGAAGGGTTGCGCTCATAAGCTCCTTGAAATTGTAATAGATGATAATGATTAAGGTATTGTATTATTATATATTGAAATTTAAATCTATGTGGCAGATACATCTAATTTGTTTTGGTTTTATGCATCTTCTTATAACATTTTACATGTGCACGTTTTTAGGTATCTTTGGAGATACTAAAAGAGTGATTGTGGCTATTAGTTTAGAATGATAGCTTTTCTTGAATGGTTACATATCTTGATTTGGTTGTGTTTGTACTTGATGTAATATTTATCGTTTTCATGTTTATAATACTGATAATATGTTGTTATTTTTAAAACTATGTTTGTCAGATGAATGAGATGCTTTGAAGATAGACTTAAGGAGAATATGCAGATAGAGGAGATGGAGGTAGAGAGAGGATGGCGACACTATTGGTAGCGAGGAGAAGATAGACTGAATGATCAGGGGAAGGGAGGGGTGATGTGTGTTGTTCGAGAGAAACTGGCTAGGGTAATTCGGGGAAGGGAGGGGTGATGTGTGTTGTTGGAGAGAAATTGCCTAGAGTAATTCCCCACAGAGCTGTCAACTTGGGCAGAAACCCGTGGACTGACCTGTTTCAACCCATTTATTAGAGCATCTCCAATGCTAATACGTTAATGGTGTATACGTGGCATGAGAGATAGCCAATCATAAAACAATAATTAAAATATCTCTCTCCTTCTATGAAGGATATTATATCATTTTGGTAAGTTTTTGTTTACAATGTCAAGCACAATGTCTAGATGTAGACATTGTGGTTGACATTGCAGAGAAAAATTTACCAAAAACACATAAGACCGTGAAAAGACAGAGAGGAAAATGTCATAAGATCAATCTTTTGTGTCTATCTCTCTCATGCCACATGTGCACTGTGCACATTGTAGCATTGGAGATGCTCTTAGCGTGTCAGGATTGTCATTTTCTGGCCTGATTAATTCACGGGTTTCGTGGGTCAACCTAAGCGTGTTGCGGGTAAAGTGAGTTGGCCTGCACGAGTTGCGGGTTGGTTCGTGGGTCAAAATGCAAATGTACAATTTGACTGTCATTATCTTCAATAGTATTTCTTTTTTACCACCAAAATTATTATAATTACAATTTTTATATACTTATCATTTTACAACCATTTCAAAAAAAAAAAATTATTTCTATAACAACTATTCAAATAAAATCTATAATAGCTATCTAAATAAATTGTTCAAGCATATATTTTAAGTACAGTTGAATATTTTTTATCAATTAGCATTCATAATATACAAATAAATGAATAATCACTCAAAAGGTTTAAGTAGATCTTTACTTTTGTAAATGAGTATTTTTAATATTCTTTAACTAACCTTAACAAGTATTTTGATATCTTATATTTCCTGTATTACTACATGTCAATGTAAATATATACTACTACCAATATAAATATGTACTATTGGGTAATTGTTTTTAGATAATTTTGTTATGTACTCCCTCCGTCCCATTGGACTTTGCCAACTTACCTTTTTTTGCTGTTCCAAAAAATTTTGTCACTTTATTATTAAAGCAACTAATTTGTGGTTCTGCATATTTCTCTCTCCTATGCACAACTCTCAACCACACAATTTTTACTATTCTTATTTCTCACTTACTTTGCACTTGACAAAGTCCACCGGAACGGAGGTAGTATGTTTTTATGCATTGGCCTGCAGGCCGGCCAGTTTATCCCGCAGGCTAGGTGGGTTGGGCTAAGGTTGTAGAAATTCTGGCCCGTCACTTAACGAGTTGGCCCGACTCAACCCACGTAAAGCATAACCTGTTACGTGTCGGGTTGGATCGGGTTGGCCTGTTTGACAACTCTAATTCCCCATGAAATGTTTATACTTTTTTAATGTGAATTTCTTTTTGTAATAATATTTATATATGAAGTACATATTTAGCATTTTGTATGACAATCCATATATGTTTCTTTTTATTATACGCTTTATTCAAATATTATTTATCGTGATGTATCATAAATAATAAGATAAAACATATTAATACTATCCTGTGCATCGCACGGGTACGATACTAATTTTATACTAATGGTGAAAAGCCATAAATAAAGTAATAAATTTGATGATTTAGCATTCAAATTTTGCGTTTAAGTCATAGACTAAAATGCAACATGGAAATAGGGCAACCACTCCTATTTCCATGTTAGGTTTAATAAAAAAATGAGTCATGAACCCAAGTCTATACACAGGGGCGGACCTACGGTATAAGGTGGGTAAGCACTGGCTTCACCTCAAAAAGTTCCACTAGCCTATGTGGTAGTAGCAAAAATAATAGATGCTCCATTATGCTTCAGGTCATTGGTTCGAATCCCCCCTTAGGCTACACCCAATTTTTTTTTTTAACTTCTCATGTGGCATTTTTTGCATATGGGCTGTGCAAGTGGGCCTTTTATTTGTTATTTCTTTGATTGAGTGGATCGTAAATGATAGGTGTAGCACATGAGAAATTAATAATTTACACCCAGTTTGAAAAGCCCTAGACCATATTAACCTATTTCCTTTCTTCTTTCAATAATCAAACCTTCAACTTAACGTACGTATTGCTCAACGGACAGCGGGTCAGCGGCTCTGCGATTTTCACTCCTTATCTCTATTTCAGGTTTTTTTTCTTTTACATTAAAGCTTTACTAATTTATTGTAGTTACTAATTATTTTTATAGTTTATTTATTGTTCGAATTTATTTAACAATTATCTAAATTGCAGAGCAGTAGAGGACCGGAGTTGAAATCGGGAATTCACAAGGTTTATTCGTTTCTTTTTGCCTAAATTATTAAAGCCTAATTAATATTATTGTTAATATTGTATTTTTAATCTCTAGTACTGTATTTTGTTAAATTATTAAAGCCTAATCAATATTACTAGTACTCTACTTTTACTTTTTTATGTTATTAATTTTGTATTTGTAGCTAGGGGAACAACAATAACCAATTTTTTCTTAAATTATTAAACCCTAATTAATATGTAGTTCATATTTATAATCGTGTTTTGATTTATACATTTTCTGTAGATACATTGTCCATTTATAATTTTGTTACTATTACAAGAGCAAGTCGTGATGTAATTCATAATGAAGCTAGCGGGTCTCGTGCTTTTAAACAACCTCGGATTGAGGTCAATTTAGATGAGTTGCCCACAGACCCTGGATTACGTCCAAAAATTTGTAGTTATCATCCAAATGATCAAGATAAAGTGAGAAGGTTTTATTTACAAAAAGGGCCTTGTCAGCCGCGCACTCATAAGTTTCCTCAACGAATAATTGGTACTAAGTCCAGAAGATTTTGCCCCTCTTGGTTTAATGAATTTGAAAGTTGGTTAGAATATAGCATAGATAAGGATGCTGCATATTGTTTGTATTGTTATCTATTCAGAGCTGACTTTGGAAAACAGTCCGGTGGAGATGCATTTGTTAGTCTATACATACAATTATAATCACTCCTTGTTTTAGTTCAGCTTAGGTGAATGATTAAAAAGGTGTTTAGATGAGAGTTAAAACTAAAATAATTTAGGTTCACCACAAAACAAAAACAGCCAGGCCATAAAAGATTGCTAAAAATATCAGAGCTCACGATCACAATCAACAAGTTGCTGCCCACTAAGGCTCACAAGCTTCCTAGTGGCGAAAAAGTTGGCTGTCAATGACCAGCAATATATGATAATGAAAATATTACCTGTCATATATGGTTTTAAATGGCCGCATGAAACTCTTGATATCTTCAGCGAAACTCAATTGTGTATTTGTTGCAGCTGAAACAAAAATCCAAGAAATCCAAGATCATAACATATTGAAACTGAAAATTGTATCAGAACCTTTATCATTTAAAGCACATCCCATGCCATTAATTTCACCATTGTCATATTTAGAATAGATAGGATACAATGATACATATAGTCCGTAGTGTCAAATCCCAAATTTTATGTTGAAGTAATGTCTTTCACGATTTCACCACACCAAATGTTCTGGTATATTCTAAACATATTACAAAATGCATGTGAGAACAAAAATACAATGCTCAGCATTAAAATAAAAGAATTACTTGGACCGATGCTTATCCCTCTATACTATTTTTCACTCAGAAACGTTTGATCTCAAGTTTTGCTTCTACCAGGCACCCTTGGTTGTGTGTTGCGGAAGGAAGACATGGTTCTCCTATTTATAGCAGAAAGTTGCTTGTGAGAGTTTCAAACATTTTTCACTATCGTATATACTCAGTTGCTTGGGAAGTGTAATGGCATAATTTTGACTGCTCGATTCAACAAAACAAAGCATTGATATAGGTTCTTGAACAGCTGTCAGCCACATATTTTGTTTTGAAAACTGAAAAGTCATACTGAATTACCGAAGTATATAATTAATGTTATCTTCTTGTTTGTAATTATTGTTGTGACATGATGGCAGAGAAGGGGTTTTCATGGCTGAATTTAATCTGAATACAGGACGGGATTGTAGACTTCCAGCTCCTATCAAGCACACTCCATCCTCTATACCTCCATGGAATGGTGCACTGGTCACCACAAAACAAAAACAACCAGGCCATAAAAGATTGCTAAAAATATCAGAGCTCACGATCACAATCAACAAGTTGCTGCCCACTAAGGCTCACAAGCTTCCTAGTGGCGAAACTACCCGCATGACCCCTGTTTCATATTTTCAATTCCCAGGCCGGCAATGATTTAATTCAACTCATATACTAGTTCATAATGTATTGAATCTTTTCAACTCATATGGATCATAATTTCATCAATTGGATGAAAAATCTACTCTGGAGATTCAATTACCAAAACACTGTACAGCAATGATGGATTCGAACCTGATTCTTTACGGGAGTAAGGGCACCGTGTTCTCTCCAATCGAAATCTGATGGGAGATTGGCGGTGGGAAGGGCGGCCGCTGTATGAGCCTCAGCCGGAAACCTGAGCCGGCAGTTTAATCCGAGAAAGTTGCGCCGGAACTTGGAGAACCAAGTGACACTGTGGACGGCGGAAGTGTCGAGCTGGTGACATCAAGGATCAGAGAAGAAGCAAACACAAAATGTCCCACACCTAAACTAAAAGAGATTTAAATATGTTTATAAGCACGCTTCAAAGGTTTTGGTTTGTCTTGACTATTAATTGTGTCTTTAATAATCCAATAAGTATGTTTGTTAATATTTCCAGTCAGATCTCATCCACCTATTAATTGAACAAAATGTAATAATTGTATATTCTCTATTGACAATCACCAATATACCTTACACAGACATGTGTAAAAAGTGTGTACACAAAAAAGTGTGTACCTTTATAATTTTTCAATTCAATATCTACCTAAAAGTTGGCCCTCCAACTTTTCCTTACAGTAGTACTAGTATTAGATATGACTTAATCCGAAAAGATTGGATTAGAATTACCTGATAGAAGCCTCCATTTGAGATACTTCCGGTTAGATGTTTTTGATGAACTTTTCTGATCATGTATTTGATGAAATGTAGATTATGTTCACTAAATTTCAATCACGAAGTCAATTAAATAAATTTCGGAAAAACACTGTGTTTTATATATACATATTGGTGCAGTGTTTTTCAATAATATATTTAACTGCCTTGTCGGTTGAATTTTAAGCTGAAATTTTGTATAAATAATCTACACATCATGAAGAACATTGTCATTAAATTTCATCAAGAAAGTCCATCCGGAAGCACCTCAGACATAAGCAGATGGACGGTGGATCCTGTCAGGTAGTTTTAACAGGATCATTCCTCATGAAATAATTGCATATGTATGATTAAAAATAATAAAATATGTTTACTCTTCAAATAGATCTTATTTAGTCCTATACAAAATAATTTGATTAAAGTTTGCCAAAATAGGAGTAATGAGTTCTATTTTGAGAATAAAACAATGATAATCGCATGAACAGTACACGCGTGTACAGTAACTTTTTTTCATTTTTGTCCTGATATCATGAATGATGTAACTCACGTGTAGACATATGTAACTCACGTTGATAAAAAATGTAACTGCAGGCAAGTCGCAATGTAACTTGTCTAATACGGATTATAAGAAATAAAACATTGATTTCAATGAAAATAAGGAATCTAATTGTTCAATGATTTTACGTAAATAGTGAATATGTTTTGTTTTTAATATTAAGACCATGAATGATTTTTTTTCTTAAAATCATTTATTTTTCCAAAAATCAATATTTTTCACCCCAAAAAAATCATTGTTTTTTGAAAAAAAATGATTTTTTGTTTCAATAGCAGGGGATTACTTAAATAGTGAATATGTTCTGTTTTTTATATCAAGGCCATAAAATTATTTTTTTAAAAATCAGTTTTTTTGCCTAAGAAATCACTTTTTTGCAATTTTTTGCATAAAATTGATTGTTTTGTTTGAATAGCAGGGCTTTATGATGTTATGTAATTCATGTTATAGAAAATGTAACTCGAGTTGATGGAAAATCTAATTTAGGTGTATGCAAAATGTAACTTGTTATGGCAAGTCTAAATGTAACTTGCGTATAAGAAGATGTAACTCACGTATAAAAAGATGTAACTCAAGCATTAAAAGATGTAACTCACGCACAAGAAGATGTAACTTCATATACTATTAAATGTAATTCGAGAAATTGTCTATAAACATAACTTAGACATGTAGAAATGTAAACCACACACATTTATCAAATGTAAGTCTAAATAAACAAACTTTATGTCTTAAAAATATATAAAAGAAATAAGAAATATATTATATATATATATATAATATTGCAACTAAAACCAATAAAAGAGATTGTTTTATAGATAAAAGTAATTGTAAACTTATTTTTAATATTTTAATAATGGAGATTAAGATAATTAGAAAAGAAAAGGAAAGGAAGACAAGAAGAAAGGGAATCAGTTCAAAAACCAAATGTAAATGCAAATACAAATACAAATACAAATACATACTCCGTCGGCCTACTTCACTCGCACAGGGTTCTGGTAAATTTCCACTCTGAGTCTGATTTTCAAAGATTTTGGCTTAAAAAACCTAGGACTTCTTCGGATCTGCGATGACAGTCATCAGGTGGACAACCTCCTACTCTGACGATTCGGATTGCCCTTTGTGTCCCATTTGGGTGGCCCTTGAAGGGCTACAGATCCATCTTCACGATGCTAGAGCTTTATTCTCTATCGCTAGTTTATCGGGAACCCTCTCAAAATTGATGCACCTACCGCTAATTTTTCAAGACCATCCACTGCTAGAATTTTGATTGAAATAGATGTTTCTAAGGATCTGCCTCCCAAGATATGGATTGATAATGCTGAAAAGGGTTTTTTCAAGCTGTTATTTACGAACAATTGCCTGCTTTTTGTAGTTTTTGTTCTCGATTTGGGCATCAATGCGGAAAATGTCCCGGAAATGCTCATGGGATTAAGGAAAACCAGGTTTCCCAGGTTTCAAACCCGATGATGCAGTTGGCTGAGGTATCTGGAACCAAGGAAGCTCCAGTTTCCCTAGATTCCCAGGCTGTCCCTGTTGATGATTCATGCCCTATTACAGTTTGTACCCCAATAAATGATGTTGTCTTAATAGGGGATGAAATCCCCCAGACCGGTTTTGAGAAGAACAAAGAACTGGAACACGTTGTTCATGACCAAACCAAAGCACCTGAAGTTCAACGAGTTGCTTATAGTTCTGTTGAAAATGTTCCCAATAATGATTTGGTTGCCTTTGAGATTCAAATTGTTGCCTACGATATGCATAATATCCCTGCAATGTCTGGCCTCTCGACCATAAATGAAATTGTTGCCTCAATTGATGCAGAATCTAACCTTTGTGCAAGTTTTGAGCTTGTTAATACTGAAGACATTGTTCCCGTCCATAATGATCCTGGTGTTATAACCAGTAACGAGAATGACTGCCCTAAAGTTAGTGCTAGTCTTGATTTTGTCCTTGATGAACCTGTCCCTTTTGAATCTGGTACTACAGCCAGTAAAAGTTGCATGACTAAATCGGATGCCCATGTCCATGTCTTTGTCGCTTTTATCCAGATACTACAGTTGGTATTGGTGAACCCCCCGTGGTTACCTATAACAAGGCAGTAACCATTGGTGTGGTTCAACCCGCTATTGATGGTCCCCACAGAATAGATTACTAGAAATGGAGATGATGATATTATATCTGATCCTTACGAAACTAATAATACACTAGCCCCAAACTTGTCCAGTGATGATATTCCATCTGAGGACGACACTGCTTTGCTTTCTATTACAGATTTTACAGAAAATATTGCAGCCAGGGAGGACTGCTCTGGGGGATTTATGCAAGTCAGAAGCTGGAAAAATAAATTACAAAGCCATCCCATCAGCCCTACCGGAGTTCAAGAGGTCAGACAACTATTTTATGAGGCGGGATACACTTCACACCCCATGGTAACAAGAAGTCAGTCCCGGAGACCCCGAGATGAATCAGACCACTATTGAAGCTAGGTTCGATTCACCCCATAAATTGGCGGAGGCACTCAAACAGTATAAAACATCCCGTCCGACGGCCAAAACATACCAACCCTATTTGCAGAGGGCGATAAAATTTCACAGCAAGTTCAATCGGAATATCTCAGCAACAGTTGGAATCCCTACAAAAGACTTTATGTAACACCGCCCCCAAGTATTTGTACTTTATCAAATTATGTATTGAACCCTGAGAAATAAATAAAAGCAAATTTACGTGATTGTAAATTTTTATCATTTCTTTTACGTGAATAGTAAAATTCACGTGGGGCCGACACCAGAAGTGGGGGCCGTCCGGTACTGTTGGGACCACATATTATATTAATCTTGGCCTAGATAATATGTATATGGTGGTGGATATCCTAATTGGGCCATGGCAATGGCATAGGGTTGACCGGTTGGTAAAACGGGGCCCAATTATTAGTATCGGCAATTTATCAGATAACAGCCCGAAAAGGGATTTCGGAGACTTCTAACTTAAAGTTGAGGAATACATATTCCCTCTAAGGTCCAATAAGGATTGGGAACAAGTGTTATATTTTATTTGACCCGATTAAATAAAATATAATTAAAACAGTCCGGAAAATACAACTTTCGGGACCAAGCGTACACTTGGGAACATAAAGGGATGACCTCCCACATGAGTGGGGCCACTCCACAAATTTGGGTCTGCAAATTTCAATGGGAGCCGCACAAGGACATGGAGAAACAAGGAGGAACTGATTGGGAGACCAATCAATAGGTACACCATGTACATTGTGTGTTGATCCCACGTATTGGGATCGGTACACCATGTACATTGTGTGCTGATCCCACGGTATAATTTGCCAAACCAAAAGGAGTCTTCAAGTGAAAAAAGCATTCTACGGAAACAAAAGTTTACGCCCAGCAAAAAAAAATCGGCGGAAGAAAGGAAGAATAGCGGAAAAGAAGTCTCACTGAACGCTTCGGTGACGAGCAGCGGCAGAACACTCATGCGACGAACAGCGGCAGGTCACTCCGACCAGCGGCAGATCACACAAGCAGCGAAAACCGCACATCTGCAATGGGCACCGACGAAAAGAATTACTTCACGTGTTCTCCAATGACCTTCCTCTTCGATGGAAATGTGATAATAATGGGAATAGAATGTGATGGAGCAGATGAGAGGGTAGTGATTGTGGTAGTGGACTGGGCAGGTGGGTCAAGAGTTATATCGGTGAGGTTCATTGGAGACGGTGTAGTAGGAATAGAATGTGATGGAGATGAGAGGGTTTTAAAAGGATATGTGTCCTCATGAAACCTAACGTGACGACTAACATAGACACGACATGTGATAGGATCAAAACAACGATAGCCCTTATAACCAGATGCATAGCCAAGAAAAACACATTGGATGGAACGAGGTGATAATTTATTAGCTGAGGTGGCCGAAAAGTTTGGATAGCAAGCAGAACCGAATACTCGCATGAAGGAATAATCCGGAACACGGTTAAAAAGTTTTTGATACGGAGAAAAATCATTTAAGGTAAGAGAGGGTAATCTGTTAATAATATATGCAGCAGTAAAAATGGCATCAACCCAATAGTGACTCG